CAAATCATTTACAACCAAATTGATTTGCTCCGGGTATGGTTAATCAAAAATTAGAAGGACGAGTATAAAACTTTTGTTTTTCAAATATTGAAATACTTATTTATGAGAATGTAATAATTTCTATTCCGATGCTAACTAAAACAAGAGTTGGAAAATAATGAAATTTATATAGACAAATAAAAAATATTACGCTTACATTTTCAGAAAAATAAAGTACTCACAAAGAAGGGGGGGGGGGGGGCACGACCATTTTTCTTTTAAGAAAAGAAAAAATTAATAAATTAATGATATTCACGCAATTATAAAATTCAGAGCAAGACAAAAACGGATTGACACACCCAAATAAGAAATCAATTTCCGGTCCACTAAAAAGGAGAAAAGGAAAAACAAGACAGGAAGTGAGAAACTCAAGAGAAAGCAATCAAACTGGATTTTTGTGAAAATTCACAACAAAAAGAAAATCAATCATCAGTTTGATTATATACTTTTTCAGTTGCTGAATTTGAGTTTGTTGATTGAAGTTTTTTTAATAAAGATAAAAAGAGATGCAATCAGCTATGCTATTGAATCCTCCATCTACCTGTTCTTCATACCCTTCTAGAAGCTTCCAAACCCTAGAATCTTCATCTTCCTCATGCTCTCCTTCTTCTTCTACCACCACTCTCTTTCTTCCGCCTCCTCCTCTTCTCAAGGTATGCCCTTTTTTTGCTTCTTATTGTAAATCTGTTGTTTTACTGTCAATTTCTGTCCTTTTCGATTCTCTTAATTATCTGCTTTTGTTTTGCAGATTTCCGGCTTCTTTGGAACTCGATTTTCCGTGTTGACGAGGCGTAATGCTTCATCGCGTGCCGTCCGTAGTGCTTCACGGCAGCAAGGTGTGATTTCTGTTTCCGTTTACCTTGTCGTTTTCTGTATTTGTATTACCTTAATGAATACAATTTTTTTATTTAGGAATTTCATAACAAGTGTCAAATTGATTTAGCTTTAATCAAATAATTTGGTACATATTTAGTCATCGCGTTACCTTTTTTTAGTCGGGAATTGTGCTTAAATCAGTTTTGTGATAAGAACCAGCTCCAAAAAGAACTACATTTATTTAGCGAATTTGGTTTATTTTATTTTATTGAAAATTATTAGCTTGTACTCGAGTCAAATCATACGGGGCCCTGTTGAGCTTGTTACCTCTTTTAATCGGAATTTTTTCTTAAATCAGTTATATGGTCAGAACCAATACGTTAAAAGATTTTAGCTTTTGTATTTGGCAAATAACCAACTGTTATATTATTGAAATCGATTAGTTTGTAATGAATTTTCCGATAATCACTTATTTAGATTATCAGAAAAGTCTCGGAAATCAAAAGGCCCTAAAGTTATCTTTTCTATTTGATATGCAGATAGGATAGCAAGGGTTCCTTATTAGCTTTGCTTGTTGGTTTTTAAGCTTAGATCGCAATGCTTCTGTTCTTAGTTCGATGACATACATACTAAGTGCTGTCGGTAGTAGTTTCCGCCTTGCTAATAAATATTTATCGGCTTTATGTTGAATCTGAAATGATTTGCTTGTTGGCTCTTGGTGCAGTTGTAAAAGCTGTTGCAACTCCAAATTCAGCAGTAGAAGAGTTACCACTTACTGCAGAAAACATTGAGAGTGTGCTGGATGAAATTCGACCATATCTGATTGCAGATGGAGGAAATGTTGCATTGCACAAAATTGATGGCAATGTTGTTAAGCTAAAACTACAAGGAGCTTGTGGCTCCTGTCCAAGTTCTGTCACGACGATGAAATTGGGAATTGAGCGTCGGTTGATGGAAAAGATCCCAGAAATTGTTGCTGTTGAAGCAGTACCAGATGAAGAAACTGGCCTTGAGCTTAACGAAGAAAACATAGAGAAGGTAGATGCTTCTCTCTGTTATTTATATGTTGCACATACAACTGGTACAGTCCTTCCAAAACTGTAAACTTGAACTAGATGATCTTCAACACATTGTGGACAAATTAAGTCATGTCCTAAATTACTTCGTCCGTTCGTCGTCATCCAAAGAGATATTGGATTCTATGGTTTCTCAACCAGTTAAGTTAGTTGTCATGCATAGGTACGTAGCCCATAAGAAAAACAGGCCATTTTACTTTCAAAGTTGGTTGAACCAGCTAAATTCCGTTCCTTGATAGGCTGACCATGTACTTGAGTCTACTGTATTAGTGCCAAGACCTGACCATACTACTCCATGGTTAGTCTAGGGCTGCTGCATAAGATTGATTGTGTTCATTTTTCATTAATTTGGCCACAGAAGCCTTCACCCGAACATGCAGCTACCTTTTTTCCTCTATTAGACTTGAAGTTTGGTTTATATCCATACAACTTGAAAAACTTATCAATACTGTGCCAGTCTTTTTGCAATAACTGCAAGTCAACAATGGCATTTGTTATTAGTGACTCTCTAACATGAAATCCAGCGTTGAAAGAGGCATTGCTTCAGGCTGACCCAGTCATGAATCGAATAGTAGGTTGTATTTCCATTTACTTCTCGTCCTGAATGAACAGTGGAAGGCAGATGTGACATGATTAAATTGTTGCTTCTGACTCCAATATAAGATTTATCCAGACACACAAGTAACTGCATGTCATTTATTTTGTTCGAGATGCTTAAGATTAGGTATTCTTTAATTCTGCATGTCATTTATTTTGTTCGAGATGCTTAAGATTAGGTATTCTTTAATTCTGCATGATTTTCATTGATATATTTGGATGATGGAGTTGCCCGTGGGGCTTTGATGTAGTGGTAAGAGCGCAACACATGATGTTTGGGTAGGCGCATGTCACGGGTTCAAAGCTGCCACAGTCAAAGACCTGGTATTTATGGCATCTTCATGTTCACGTGTCATCTTAGATTCATTTTCATTGCTCACATTTTCAGTAGCTCTGATCAATATAGAAAATGTGTGTTCAATTGCTATGCTTGTTTTTTTGTTTTTTCCTGCAGATCTTCCTGCTTTATTGATTTTTATTTATAACTATTAGGTTCTTGAAGAGATAAGGCCGTATCTCGTTGGGGCAGCTGGTGGCAGTTTGGAACTTGTGGCAATTGAGGAGCCAATAGTTAAAGTTCGAATCACAGGTCCTGCAGCTGGTGTAATGACTGTTCGTGTGGCTGTAACTCAGAAACTGAGGGAAAAGATCCCAGCAATTGCGGCAGTTCAACTCTTACAGTAGAAGTGTTTGCACAACTCTCTTTTAGTGGTGCGTCTGTGTCATAAGCAGACTAAGTAGGAGCATGATTAGCTCAGTTAGCGTGAAGCCTTCATCATATGCTGCCTATGTACCAAAAAAGGAAATAGTAAGCTCTACTTTGTACAGTTGCGCTGCATTTAATTTTTCAGTCTATATATTCTATATTGTAATATTTGGATAGGGCACCCCGGAGAGGGAATTGCAATACCCAGTTTGTGGATCAAGATGACCCTGACGATTTGAGATGTTCAAACACGGAATGCCTAGGATTTTGGGATCCGAACAACAATTTAGATAATCAAAAGAGAGGTGAATTTATATTTGATGATTCGATCCTTCCTCAGCAATAGAACTGAAAGAATACTCCTATTACACGTATCGTGAGCCATAACTACATGACCATAACTAACTTGGCTAACCTTCACATTTCCCAGTGATATATACCAGTTATATATGTGAGCTTACGTGCGCTTTGGCTCTTTGCAATTTTATCACTTAGGGTATGTTTGGTATAGAGGAAAATGTTCTCTTGGAAAACAAGTAGTAATCTTATTCATTTTTTGGTGTTTCGTACGCAAATTAAGGAAAATAACGTTCTCAAGAGTATTCATAAATAATTTAGATACAATAAACATGAAGTCATAAACTTTTCGAACCCGCAAATTTTATAAACTTTCAAACCGCTAAATTTTCGAGACTGCGAACTTTCGAACCCGTAAATTTTGTAGTTTCTAAATCGTAAACTTCCGAACTCATATCTTTTTTCCGGGAGGGGTGTGTGTGTGTGGGGGGGGGGGGTAGGGGAGGAGGGGAGGGGGTGGGGGTGTGCAGAAAAACGAAAAACAGAATTTTGAAATTAACAAAAAAAAAAAATTGTGCGGGGGTGGGGTGGGAGGTGGGGGGGGGGGGGGGAGTGGTGCAGAAAAACGAAAAAACAGAAATTTAAAAATTACAAACAAAAAAAAGTAAAAAAAAAATTGTGCAAGGTGGGGGCATGTGGTGGTGGGGTTTGGTGGGGTGAGGCTGGGTGGTCCAGAAAAACGAAAAAAACAAAAATTTAAAATTATAAAAAAGAAAAAATTGCGGGGTTGGGGAGTGGCGGAAAAAAATTTGAAATTTGAAAAAAAAAAAGCCTTTTTAGAGAGGGGGATGAGGTGGGTAGGCATGGAGCGGGGTTGGGTGGGTGGGTTGGGAGTGTGCAGTGGATTGGTGAGAGTTGGGAAGGTTTTGGAAAATATTTTCTCCTCTTGATATGGAAAATATTTTCCTCCAATTTCATAATAAAAATATTTTCCAAAATATTTAATCCAGCCAAACATAAAAAAAGTTAAAAAATATTTTTTTCGTACCAAACACACCCTTACTACTTCGCCCTTTTTGCCGGTTTTTGTTATGTTAGGGGCGGTGGGCATCTTGTAGTGTTAGGTATATCAGACTTATTTTTTGATTGGTTGGGAAGGTTGTGAAACTGCGATGACTTTAATGTGAATTTTGGGAGTGGTGTCTTCTTAGACTTCCATACTTTAGTAAAATAGGCCTGAGCTCACTATATATTTTCATGTGTTTTGCGTAGACTATGCAAAACCTTGACTGTTTAAGCTAAAGATCTCATCCCTCTAATAACCTGAGCTCTTGGATAAATCAAATGGTCACCAACAAATATATATATTTTTTAAAAAGGTTCAACCACCACCAAGAGTAATAGTTTGGATAATGTTTATATGTACATAGTGCAAATACCAAAAGATATTCAAAATACCAGCACTAAAATTTGGAAAGTATATCACCATCTTGAACTGTTAAAAAGAGTTAGTTCATTATTCTAGCCAAACAGGTTAGAAAATGTCCAACAAAACACCAACTACTATTTTAGAAGAGGTAATCACCAAAAAGTTTCACTGTATCAGGTCAAAAAACATTCCAAAAACGGCCAACAGTGGAGATGACTCTTAAGATCCACTGTAATTTCCAATAGTACCGAAATAGCATCTCTTCCATGCATAAATGACAAGTACAAGATAACAAAAATGTGAATATGTGATAACTCAGCTTAAAGTATAGAATAATGGGGCTCTGTTGTGCTCTCACTACTTCGTCAAGATGCCCCATAAGCTCTAGAGAAAATGATGATACGAAAATAACTTGGACCAAGTTCTTCTCTCATTAGAAAGCCTGCTAAGGGGAATCTGTATCGAAACACACCCACACAAGAGAGGTGACCACCATGATCATACGAACAAAACAGTGCCAAATTCTGTAGTCTCTATATGTGGAATCATTGTTCCCACTCCTACCTGAGAAAGAACAAGAGATGGCTTGAGATGCTCCTAATAAACCTTTAACCTCCCTTCACCCAAGCAGGCAACTCCCCAAATTTCCTCACAGCAATGTATACAGTGCAATGTCTGTCATGCTCTTCTCAGATTAACAAATCCACTTTGGAGTAATCTTCTTAATGACAATAGAGCTTGATCACAGAGTCAGCACCTGCAGTAAACAACCATGGTTGCCTAGGATGGAACTTGCAGTCCATGACACCTGAAGACAGTTGCAATCAAGAAATGTTAACAAAGTGGTAGCATGTGTTTGAGACCACTACCATCAACATAATAAGCCATCTATATGAATGAAATCCACTTTTTCTTTGGTATAGCTGCATTTGAGATAAACTGAAGACTCAAGACCCAACTAGCATTGGCTAATAATGAGCCATCTATTTGGCTTTGCTTTACAAATGATATTGAAATTAGATCTGCATATCTTGCAATTATCACATATTAGTTTCAGAACTTGCAAAACTTGGGGATCCTAAAATTTTGTCGATCCCATCAACTCTAGTGGATAAAGCCATCTGGCATATTTCGAGATTAGATTAAGAACTTGCTAAACAACTTGGAGATCCTTGAATTAAAATCTCGACCCCATCAACTTAGGTGAATTTAGCCATCTGGCATATTTTCAAGCTTAAATCTCGACCTCGTCATCTTAAAGTGAATTTAGCCATGTGTTTCCATCTGACCCAACTAGTACAGGTAAAATTGGTTTTGCTTTACAGATGATATTGAAATTAGATCTGCCTATCTGGCAATTTTCATCACAGATTAATTTAACTTCCAAAACACCTTGGGAATCCTTTAATTTAAATCTCAACTCCATCAACCTTAAGAGAAATTTAGCCATCTGGCGTATTTCCTCCGAAATACCAGGATGTCCATGGTTGAGTTGTACCATTCTGTTGCTAGTTGTCTTATTCTGTATCAACATTAGCTGTTTCTCTAGATGCCTCTATGGCCTTAGTGCAAAATAATTTACCTCAAAAGGGCCCTCTTGTCTGATGTTAAGCTCCTACCAGACAAAAGTTCCTAATACACTATTATATTGACAAACATATCGTATCAAAATGCATTTGAGGATAAATAAAACCTAAAGAGCACTAACTGCTGCAGCTTCATCAGATTAACACTTCTTTCTTCCAGTGTAAGATGGGATGGCGATTGGGGACTAAACTAGAATCGTCATATGATGAAAGGAAAGGGTAATAAGGTCATACCTCTTCCATTTTCACTGGCATGACCACGAAGAATCTCCAGAGGTACAATCAACGGATTCTGGTTTAGATCTGAATAAACCATGCCATGGAAAACGTATGCAGTACAATCATCAGAAGACGAAGCAAACAAAGGATAGGAGCGATGAAAGGCCACTTTGTTGATGTCCTTCGAATGGCAACTGTAACATGGAACAACCTCCATATAAGGGCAGTTATGGACCAACTAGAGCAATGAATGAATAGACTAACCAATCACATTTGCAGAGAACTAGAGAAGAACAAGTGAATATTTTCAATATAACACATCTAATGCCTGCAACTTCCTTTTATTTTAATGACCGAGAAATCCGGGGCCAATCCTTAGGATCAACCGCAGCTTCCGAAACTCGGAGATAACTGCCCTGCCCTTCTCCACTTAAATATCAGCCTTAGTTTGCATGGCGCAGGGCTCGAACCTGTGACCTAAGTCACAAGTCTCTTAATCTTTTCACTTGAACTAAGCCCTGGAGGCATCTAATGCTTGCAACTTAACTCAAACAAGATCCTACCCCCAAGCATATCAGATTAAGATAGCAGAAACGCAAATTATGTGCACCAATTAACATGCGTCAGGACAAAACACAAATAGGCAAACATTAGTTCACTAGACTGATTTCATAAAAGCAACATTAGATACGTCCAGAACTTTCAAAATAATCAATTGCAAGTACATACTTGAGAACTCTGTAAGGTTGAGATGAAAGGTAAATGTCAAACAACCACACACCAAATTAGCATAACGGCAAAACTGTGTGTTGCTGTGTGCACAATTAACATGTGTCAGGCTGTCAGCACAAAACTTGTATGCACAATAGGCGCATGCTTTAATTCACCAGACACAGTACATAAGAAAACCAATAAGATACGTCCAGAAGAGCTTTTCAAAATTTAAAAATATCAATTGCAAGGACATACTTGAGAACTCTGTACGGTTGAGATGAAAGGTCCATGTCAAACCAGCACAGTTTTCCATCTCTACTCCCTACAATAAGATTGTCACCTGCACACATAGTTTAAAAAGCTTATTAACAAGTTGAGTACCGCAACTAACAGTCAGGATTATCAAAAGAGCGTCCACCTACCACCAGGATGAATAGCAATAGACGAGACTTCACGAACACCAGTCTCTAGCTTCTTCATGAGCTTTTGATTCAAGAGATCATAAACACGAATATTTTTCTTCGTCGAAATAAAGAAGGCAGAGCGAGAAGGATGGAAAGCAGTTGAAACTGGAAGTCCATGAAGCTTGAATGGTATTCTTTGAGTCTGTTTCTTTGAGAGCAGGTGAATCAAAACTGCTTTTGATTGGCGTAGATAAGAGTCAAGGAATGACATCAATCAACCAACTACAGTCTCAAAGTTTCACGTTAATGAGGCAATAAACACACAAACACCATCCCACCCTGATCTTTCTGTTTCCACATCTCTTCTATTCCAAACAAACAGAACAGTTTACTTTAAGAAATGAAAGAAGACAGCCCTCACAGATATGCTAAGGATGATTTGCCAAAACATTAACAAGGCATGCAAGTTAGTACCACCACTAGAACTTACAAATTCATATAGCACTAACAGAGCATGCTTTATTTTTCACATCAGATGACTAAAAAGTTTAGTTTTTATCAGACAGTGCAACACATCAAGACATGGGCTGGGGTGGTGAAGACTGGAATTCAAGTTAGAAGATCAGGACAATAATGTAAATCAGATGAAGGATATCAGAGGGCATAAGAGTTGAGAAATAGTCGCCCTTCCGATGCCACTCAACTGAAGAAACAGTCTGCATAGACAAAAACATTTGAGCTACACAGGAGGATTTCATAGTAATCATCACTTTAATACCTGAGCCATCACAAAGATCCAATGGGGAACACGAAAGGTACCTTAAAGTGCTTCAACCTGATTCCTCCATTCTTATCATCTTGAACCCAATTCACATTGGTTTTATCATGATCTAAGCAAAACAATTAAGAGTTAGGCAACATAATGAGTAATGAACCTCAAACAAATTTCGGCTTCTTCAAATGAAACTGACCAGAGTCATCTGCTGATGGTATTTCAACACTCAAAAGCTCTTCGAGACTATTCTGTTCTTCTGCATTGCCTAGTCCACTGTTCAAAATATATACATCTTCCCCCCTGCAATATTTATGTGATAGCAATTTAAGATCTGTACCAATGTTATCTACAATAATCATAAGCTCCAGTTAACCACTTACATACAGACTGCCAATATAGGACGTTCAGGCATAGGATTCCACGAAACATGCCGGACGGATTCCCCCAGCTCCCAGATCCTTATACACCTTCCAGTTTCAACCTCCCAAATGCGCACTGTCCCATCACTTGAACCTTCACATGTACGAATCAAAAATACCTAAGCACTTCAATCACAGTATTTACCACAAAGATGCATAATATTCCAGGACTAAAGACCATACCAGAAGCAATCCACTGCCCAGTAGAGTCTGTAGAAATTGACACAACTGGACCTTTATGACCTTTGTACTCCAGATAACACGACGTTGGATAAGGTCTGAGATCCTTCCTACTTGGCAACTTGGGCTTTAAAGACTCGGGATCAATATTAATCTGCAAAATAAAGAGAGATTAATTGCAGAAGAGACCAGGTGATAGTCTGACCCAGATAAACAATAGCAAGACAAAATGAAGGGAGAAGGGATCAAATCATTCACGTACACGTTTTTTCCGAACTCTTGCACATAAATAAAGATCCATACAGCGTTCAAAATTTTCCTTGACAGCTTTCTCATATGCTGGAACATTTCTCAGCGATGTGAACCTAAAGCAGTGACAAGCTTAGCATGAAGATATTAAAAAATATAACAGCTGTACAGAGTACACTATAAAACAATCAAATAAACCTAATACCGTTTTGGGATAAACTTTGGTCGGTCTTCCTCAAACATAAGCTGATATGAGTTGAGATCCTCTTGTGTAGGAATATATTCTAAAGAAGGGTTATAAGACTCATCATGACCTGAAAATAGGCCAGTTTTTTAGATATGCAGATAGGCAGTAAACTTTCTCCCAAAAAGGGAAAACACCAAAAAGATCCTACATCACAGGAAAGATAATATACACAATCGTCATCAAGAAAAGATGGTCAGGTTGCATACCAGGCAATTTCGGTTTTGGAGCAGGAATATATGCCAACCCCTGTCTATCTATTGCAGTGGAATCATCTCCCCATAAGAGATAGGCACTTGGCTCTTCCTTTGGCTTTTCGTCAAACTTTATAAGTCCCTTTCGAATCGCTCGCACATACTGGACAACCTGTAAGTTAAAAAGACACCACAGATCGTGAAAACCACAAACAAATATCAATCACAAAAATACACCATGTATGCGAAAACCTAGAATGTCATTCTCAAGTTTACAGGGAATTACTTCTACTTTTGTGTAACCATATATGCCCTCATTTGGGGCTTTCGGGCAAGGACGTAACAAAATTAGCATTTAGCTTTTGATATGTAAAAGTTAGCATCAATCTTGAGAGAATTGGACTATAAGAACTGGAATTAAGAGAAGAGAACAAGAGGAACACTAGACAATAATATTTCTAAGAATATTTGCAAAATAGTATATCTGCTAGTACACATGATTGCATGCACTGCATTACTGTAACACTTGATTCGAGCAAAAAACGAGAAAGCAATCAACTAATCAGTGACTTTGATATTCTCCCGAAAGTCAGTTTTTACAAATGCATCTGAACAACTAGATTCTTATAAGTGATATATTAAGCAAACAAACCAACATGTACACTATATCAAGACAGGGACGAGTTAAATCAGAAAAGTAGAAACAGATTCTTCCAATAGCATCAGTGTAATATCCACAAAAGATACCTAGTCAATGATTGGAGAAAAGAACAAACTACATAAGCTAGTTATCGTGAAAAAGCAGATTATACACTTCCAACATTACTCCAGACCAGAGAGCAAATAAAGCAGAAATAAAAGGAAGTCTCAAAAGACCTTACCTTTTTACTCTCCCATTTTGAAGGGATAAAACGTCTCTTTGGTTCTGGTGCACTAGAAAGAGGATGCTTCGAATCATCCCAGGAAAACCAGTCAACATAGGGCTGCAGAACAGAGAGACAAAATAATAGTACGAGTTAGATAAAGGCAAGAATAAGTATCCCTCCTAGACACTCCAGTGCAAAATGGTAATTCCAGAGCACGAACCGCATATGGGTCAAAATCAGCATGAGGTGCCTTTCCTTTCAGCAATCTTTTGACCAGCTTAACTTCATCTTTCGTGAGCTCAACCTCTTCATCATTATATTCATCATAAATTCTACGCCTGAATTCAACATACAGAAAAATGAAAAAACACCAAAACAAAATGGATCTGCAGATTACAAGACTAGAGAAAAAGAGACTTAGCTATGTAACATAACACGAAGAGTGAAGCACATAGAGGAAATGGAACCTTCTTGATGAGGTGCTAATTTGGTTGCCCTTTTCTTGTGAGTTATTACACATTAAATAGCCGGGTACAAACTTACAAACTATGGTGAATAACGAAAGAGGGGACATGAACTATTAACATTCCAAAAGGAGGATCATACTAGTCTGACACACAATGCTTAGGTGATTATCAACAAAGCATGCAGTATTAAACACTCACTTTTATGAATAATTTCTTTTGTAAGGACTCCTATTAACAATTATTAACTAACCAATTCTTCGAATCATCAACACTGGCAAGAAATGAATCCAGTTTGTTTTGTCTCTCTTTTTTCTTGATCTTCTTCCCTGCAAGGTCATATCCAATATGTTCCTCGTCTTTGTACCACTCCAATGGAACATCTCCAACTGTATTACGAGGAGCAACCTGACAGGACAAAAGCTAATTGAATAGAAAGACACAATCTACAAAAAGTAAGCAGAAACATCAGAGACGAAGGTATCCTTGGACCACCCACGCATGAAAGAACTGGACAGCATGTAGCATCATCTTTTAAGTTCCAACAGGGTATTATTTTATCATTTGGAGTTTGGACACCAACACAGTGGTTTTAAAAGCCAAAAGCATAAAAACCGACAAGGTCCATGGCGTTTGAAGCTAAAAGCGAGAAGTGAAGTTCATATTTCTTTGAAGTGAAGCAGATAAGTTATAAAATCAAAAATTAACTAGCAATTATAATAACTAAGTTTAGCAACCAATTTACAATAATGATGGTAATAATCAAACTCGAAGTTGAGATTCAACAATCGACCATTTCTTATTATGATCACTTTGCCTGTCATTATTTGAAAAACACACTTTTTTGAAGCTCATGGTTCCACCCACGAATCGATAACGATAACGGATAACCGATAACCCCTCGATGTTCATCGTTTCTTCGCTTTAAGCGATGAACTGATGGCTTTTAATGGCACTGTTTGGGCAAGTAATAAATAATAAAGAGAAAAGGAAAAAGGAACGTGTACATGTAAATTGATAAAATAGTACTAGATTCACCGATACTGCTATTGTTTGACTCTTTCCGTTTCTTAGTCCAAAAAGAAAAATCAAAAGCAGACCTCATCTTCGGATGAATCACTTTCTTCAACTACTGTGCGGGAGTCATCGCTTCCAGCATCATCATCATCTTTCCCATGTTCAACATCATCTCTACCACTGCCACTTGCACCATTACCACTGACATTGTCACTTTTGGCATCAAAAGAATCTTCGCCATCACTTGATACAAAAACATCCTGGAACAATAGCATAATATTGCCACTCGTAAATTAAGCAGCAAACCTTTTGAAAAATCATAGCGTAAGTATAAAACATCTTTGATTAGTAAAAATTGAAGCATAAAACAAAGTTCCAGTTAATTGCAATCCTATGAATGAGAACGCATGTATGCCAGCTTATCTTACACCAACCTAACAAAAAGTGGAAATTACCATGTACCTCTTCCCCAGATAGATGACTATCTTCTGATCCAGATTCACTTAGTGATCCATCATCATCAGAGAAAACCTGAAACCATCATGCACAGCATTCAAACTCGGAATCATCAATTTCTCCGAATTAATTAAGAACAAATCTTTAGATATATTAGGGGAATAATGTGGTTGTCTCAATTACCAACACAAGGCCTACTTGCTATTCAAAAATAGGTTAATTAAGCCCTGATGCTGAAAGACCAAGCCAATTCTTACCATTATACTACAAAAGCTAATCGCAGCCTTTGAAACTCAGGGATAATCCCCCCCCCCCCTCTAACAACCACACATCTATCCTTCTCCGCTATAAATACTAGGATCGAACATGTGACCTAAGTCACAATCTCACCCTTTGCCACTTGAACTAAGCTCTGCCGTGCTTACCATTATATTACAACTTAATGAAGGGTATTTTCAACAATTAGGAAAAAGGATGCCAACCCATATTTTTAGAAGAGTCGAAGCTTTTTTAAGTCAAATTTGCTAACTAAATTTAGGTATCAGGAGCTTAACCCAATGCTTAGAGTCATGCTACAACGAAGCTTTGAGGCATTTTCAATCATCAAGGAGAAGAAGAAAAAAGAAGCAATCCACTATTGCTATGATAAAAATTGAATCTTTTTACGTTAAACGTACACCGAAAATAGTTAGCTTTGATTTCTTAAATAGTGATTTGGAATTATTACCTCGTCATCAGCGTCAGAGACAACAGGAGATTCTACGGAATTTTCTTCTTCTTCTGCTGCTGCTGCTTCTTCTTCTTCTTCTTCTTCTTCTTTGCTTGTTTCTACCGTCTCTTCAATTTTCTGCTTTTCCAATAAGTTATCTGTTTCTTCTTTCTTTACACCTTTCTGCAGTTTTTTCTGAAGGCTACTCTTCTTTGGAACCTTCATCTCTGTTACAGTATCTCGAGAAGAAGCAGAGGAGTTATGGAGCAAAGGGTTTTAAGAGGGAGGTGATAAAGAGAAGAAGGCTAGGGTTTTAGAGCCGAGGCGGGGAATTTCCGGTAATAGATTATTTCTTTTCGTTGAATTGGACCCTGTATTTCTATACCTCTCAAATGGGTCCTCTGACTTATTAACAGTGAATTGCGTTTTAAGTCCTTTCTCTTGGGATATCCAAAGCAAACTAATAATTGGCACGTACAAAGGTTTCTCTGCGTGATCGATTGGCTCCGTGGAGCAAGGGACATTCCCTTAATTTTATAAATTTCAATAAGTTTAGTTTTTAACCTTCAGATTATCTAAATTAACATGTAAAAACTCGAAAATCATGTAAAAATATGTAACCTTTCCTCGTATCACGATCGCCTAATGCGTTTTGCGAGCTATTATATAGTGAGCAGATTATCCAATACACACCCTAAAATTATTGGGGGCATGACCCTTTCTTTTCTGCTACGCCTATCCATCCGTCAGATTGACATCCAGCCGGGTGAGCGATAGCGGCTCCTGTTTACTTTGCATCTATATCCGCTTTTTATGCCATATTTTAACCTGTGCCCGCTTTGCAAAAAAAATTGCAAGCGTACCTGCTTTTTCACATAACTTCAGCATGCGGGGCTGAAGTAGCAAAGGCAATCACACAAAACTTCAGCATTTTAGTAGCCGGGCCTGAAGTTCAGCTCTAGAGCTGAAGTTTTTGTTTTGTAACTCGCGAACTTCAGCTTTGGAGCTGAAGTTTTATTTTATAAGTTTTTGTTTAGTAACCGGAAACTTCAGCTGAAGTTTGCCAGTTATAAAATAAAAACTTTAGCTCTAGAGCTGAAGTTTTATTTTATAAGTTTTTGTTTAGTAACCGGGAAACTTCCAGTTATAAAATAAAAACTTCAGCTCTAGAGCTGAAGTTTTTTTACCACCTATTAATATTACATACTAGAGCTGAAGTTTTTTTACCACCTATTAATATTACATACTAGAGCTGAAGTTTTAGAAATTCATAATCTAATGTTGACAATGCTTCTGCCATTGTTGCATATGAGGCCAAGACTAGGCTGAAGAGAAACAATGCAGTACCCAGTAAAACATTTGTATTGGCGTGCTCTTGACTTCTGTTCAATTACTATTGATGGAAGTTCGGGCAATGATATTCTTCAGAGACTACATATTGTGGTAAAAGAAAAAGAAGAGTTGCAGCAACTTGAGATTGAACTACGGGCTCATCTCATTGTAAGATCAGAGATTATGGAAATACGGAATAGTTTTGCTTGACAACTCAGTTTCAGAAGAAGAAGAAAACGAAGGAGGAGAAGAAGAAGAAGAAAGAGGCTGAAATTATTTAAGAAGTGGGTACAAGTTAAAAGTTTTTAAAAAAATGGGTATAGGTTAAATGGGGGTGACCAAATAGGGCGCCCCGTGCAATTTTTACAGATTAATGATTAGAGTTGTCAAAATGGGCTAGCCCAGCCCAACCCAGCCTAAGCCTAGTGGGCTTTTAAATTTGGTAGGCTCGGGGGGCCGGCCCTCCATCTATATGGGCCTTAAAAAGACCAGCCAGCCCAGCCCTAAGAGGGCCGCGGACTAGGGCGGGCCGGCCCTTCAATTTTTTAGAAAAAATATTTTTTCGAATTTTTAGATATTTTTTCGTGACATAATCTCTTAATCATATGAACGACTTCTGTTTATTTAGAGTGTACAAGAATCTTAATATTTGACAAGTAATCTCGTAATTGAAATACAAATTCTCTATATCTCTAGCTCTTCTTTTTTTAACGTTACATGAATATTTTTTTAGTACTTTTCTTTCACTTTCCTTAGGTTCAGGAATTGCATCAATAAGTTTATATGTTAAGGTTTTTAAATTTAGGTTTGACATTATTTGTTGATTTCATCATTATAGTCCATAAATTTTTAAAATTCATGAAATTTGCTAGTGTTGTCAATTTTCTCTAGGTATTAAAACTTAACATTTTTTTATGCTGAAAAGCAATTTAATAATTAATAATAATTAAAGTAACCAAACTGATTATTGGCCACTTAAAGTAATATTTTCTTTTGAAAAAATTTATTATTGGCCAATTAAAACTTTCCTAGTTCATTGTTAGTTAAGCAAAAGAAAAACTAATCTTGTCATATTACAGGTATGTCAAAAATATAAATTCTAGTTGATATGCAAGGGTAAATGAGCAATCTAAGATTGGAAAATGGGATTATAATTAATATTTTTTACTTTTTTAAATATTTAAATTTGAATTTAATTAATTTTTGGCCCGCGGGCCATCCCAAGCCCAGCCTCGGTCAAGCCTCAAGGGCCAGCAGGCTGACTTGGGCCGGGCTTATAAGCCTCAATTTTAAATGGGCTAAAAAATTACAACCCAGCCCTACCCAAGTAGCGGACTAGGTTGGGCTGGCCTCACGGGCCAAGCCCATTTTGACGGCTTTATTAATGATCGCGGGTTTCCCTGAAAATTTTCCCAAAAAAAAACTAGTAAAAAATAAAAAGATTTTCTCCTTTCACCGTTTAAATTAAAATTGGAGAATCAAGAATTTACTGAATTCTAAAAAAAATGCTACAACTTATAAACAAAATTGTATAGTTAAGTGTTAAGTACAATTAAAGCTATCATAAAATAAGACTTGAGTGACTTCGTCATTGTTCATGCATGAAAAAATAAACTCAAAGTTACTCTTACATAAGAGTAGAAGATACAAAACTACCATTCCACTATGGCCTAAATTTGCCACTTGAGTAGTATTTTGCTTTTTGGTGAAACTTATTACTGATTCTATTTACCAAATTTGTACAAAGATTAGGCGTAACATTTGTTCCCTTATTAACAGGACTTGATTAGCACTTAAAACACCACTAGTTCAAGCTATTTACCATTTTGAAACAAGAATTCACCGAACAATCAATGCGTATTCATAATTTCACATTTTAAGGATGATGTTTAACTTTTACTTTTAAATACAAAATGCAAAAAGAAAAGATAATGATTTGAACTAGTGCTTTGAAAGAAAATTTCGAGCACAATAAGAGATACAGGAGATTATTAATCTTCAATGTAAGAGACTGCAACGTGGTAGAAAACCCAATGTTCTTAGTCGAAGCTAAAAATGGATGCTTAAAGGCAACTATGACCTTGGAGATTTTGGAGAGACTAGGTTTCGATGCAGGTATTGTAGAAGAAACGATGTTACTCAATATTTACAGATAAAAACTATAAAACATAAACCAAACAGCCACCTTCATTCGTAGCTGGTCACAAGAAAGAAACAAAACCACCATAAAGAGGTAGGGGTGTACATGGATCGGGTTGGTTCGGTTTTTATTAAAACCAAACCAAATCAACTATATCGGGTTGGATTGGTTCGGTTTTGTCGGATTTTTTTGTTTTTTCGGGTTTTTTTTGTTATGTGAATATTATTTCAATCTTACTTTGTTAAATTTTTTATAAGTAAATATATGTTTAGTAAAAATTAAAAAACTTGACAAACATATGATCTATTTAAATATTTTTACGGTAGCATTTTGTTAATAACACAGGATAGTTATTTTTTTAGTCCTCTTACAATAATTTTTCGTTGATGTATACTTATAAGGTTAAACGAATTTAATAATTAAACATAAAAATCAACATGATACCTAATTAATGATAAGTTCTATTTTATTTTAGATTATCAAAATACCACTTCAAATTTGAAAAAGATATAAGAATTTAATAAATCTTGATATATGAACAAGGAAGAACAAAGAAATTGACGCATTTCAGTAACACTTGATAAGAAAGTGATCATATAACCCATTATTTAAGGTTAGTAAAAATGGAGTACCTCATATTCTATTAAATATTACATTCCATAAGAGAATCGCAAATATTTCTAGAATTTTTGTAAAGAAAATTCTATATAAAGTCTTAAAAGTATATATAAAAATTATATATTTATATGTCGGTTTGGTTCGGGTTTTTTTACTCAATACCAAACTAAATCAAACCAAACCTAGTCGGATTTTTTAATCGGTTTGGTTTGACTTTTCGATTTGGTGCGGTTTTCCGGTTCGGTTTGTACACCCCTATAAAGAGGTATAATAGCCTGTTTGGCCAAGCTTTTTTTTGGCAATTGAGTTGTTTGGCCAAGCTTTTGGAAGGAAAAAAAGTGATTTTGAGGAAAAGCAGAAGTAGTTTTTGAGAAGAAGAAAAAAGTAACTTCTCTCCGAAAGCACTTTTCTGAGAAACACTTTTGAGAAAAATACACTTAGAAGCAGTTTTCAAAAGCTTGGTCAAACAATAATTACTGCTCAAAAGTGCTTTTTAAATTAATTAGCCAAACACAAATTGTTTCTCACCAAAAACACTTTTTTTAAAAGTACTTTTGAGAAAAGCACTTCTCAAAATAAGCTGATTTTAGAAGCTTGGCCAAACGGGCTATAAGAAAACAAAAAGTATGCAAATAAAAGAAGACTCTTTTGGTTAATTGGTTGGATTTGCAAGTGTTCTTATGATATACTTGGAGGGCAAAGAGAGATCATCAGATAAAGATAGAAATAGTATTGGGTTTTGGTGTATCTTTCCCATAGACTGGAAAGTGATTTCATGCTCCTGCTATCGAAAGAAGAATGACTCAATCTCCTCCATTCTTATCCGAAATTAGAATGAAAAATAAGAAAGAAGAGGGAAGACCATCGCGTACCCAAACCTATCTTATTGACCCAAACCTACATCGGGAATCATTAAGTTCTAATACCATAATAAACTAAATATTATTTATAAAAAAGAAGACATACATACGTAAAAGTTAAATGCGTCGAGTAAAGCAGCTCTGCAAGACTTAACTAACATGTTCTCGCGATGAACGTTCAGCATGGCATAGTAACAGAAAGGCCAGACAAGAAAGGTGGGAAGGGAGATGCTTTGGTGAAAATCGTTTATGCAATCTTGGAATTGCCATTGGCATTAAAATGAAGACAAAATTATTGTTACAACAAGAGCTGATATTAATCTACAGCAAACTGATATAAGAAACCTAAACGTCAATACAATAAAACTTGGCCCGGCTAACTGACAACACAGATTTCCCCAACTAGGTCTCCCATATGGAGTCCCAGTTCCAACATTTTGGCCTCTCTCGAAAAAAGAATGTACTGTGGTTATGAAAAACCAAATAAGCGAGGCACTCATTAGATAGATCAAAGCCCCAACATTGAAAGGAGCTGACGCCACCTTGGTGTTTCTTCATCAAAAATATAGGTCAACGGAGAAATCAGGACACCACTCCCTCCAATCTGTAGAAGACATTCAATAAGCAAAAAGTTATGAACAGAACTTGGATGCCTTACACATGAAAGCATCAAAATATAGACAGGAAGAGTGCTTGTATACAATTCAGTTCAGTGTGACAAAAAGATCACAGGCTGAATCAAAGGACACTCAAGCATGTTAAAGCTAGAGAATAGGGAGAAAACTGGGGGGGGGGAGGGGGGAGGGGGGGAGTAATGGAACATGTATAGGTGCATTTATGTGTTCCAATAGTTCTAGTCTCTCATTTTCAATTTAAATAGGATAGGAAGCCAAATTTTGAAAATGGCAAGACTTAAAACGTTCAAACATCACCTGCCGCCAGCCAACACCCAAAAAATCAGAAATAGACCACCACACAAGTACGAGCAAAAAAACAAAGAAAGAATATGCTTCATCATGAGAAAATACAGCATAACAGATCATCCAGGGTCCAATTGCTGGACTTGGTTAGCAAGAGATTGGAAGATTATTGGATGACCTTTAGAGTTTACCTATCACTTATACAAATTGTCAAATCAGGAAGGAATTAGCATTTTACCGCTCTCAGCTGCTGAACAGACTTGTACAGTGCTTTCTTTGGTACACATATGACAATGGCAAAGTAATCAGCTGTAACCCGTCCATCCCGCTTGCAAAAGACTGGACTTACGGTGGGTCCCTGTATAAATACAAGATAAACATTTAATGAGCTGTCAAAATAATTAACATAACTGTACGAGGAGCTTAAGTGAAAATCATAGGTGAAATGGGTTTGAGACTCACTCCAGATCTCAGCCATTGATCTCATGCTATAGTGATGAGATCAAAGGCTGGACGGAGTAGGCGTAGAATCCCTGTTCCACCCAAGAATTGTTCAAGCATAAGAATGTTTGCTTGGGATCTGTACAAAGGTTACACTACGTTCTCATATTAATTTTATTTTTCAACCATGTTTCTTAATAGTTGTGGCCCAGTCAAAATTCTTAGGTTTTTTAAACTACTAATTTATGTATATGTCAGGGACTTGGATAACCTGCAATCCAGATAGTGACGTTTGACTCAATATTCGCTCAGCCACTTCCTCTGCACTGCTTCCTCGCATATTAGCAGTTACCTGCCATACAATTTGTTAGGCTTCTAGTACAGGTATAACAAAAATCTCAACAACATTAAAGAAGTTACACCCACCGTGAATTGACCAACAGCTCTCAGATGTGCCTCCAACCTTTCTAGCATTTCATGTGTTATATCAAGTACACCTTTTCGCTGCATTAGGGACTTTCTGCCAGCGACAAGGACAGCCTAAAAGGATGAAATAATATCAAAGAATAGCCATGAAGCCTACTCAAATTGCATATTAAAAGAATGTCAATAATACATCGCAACTGGAAAGAATGATCACCTGGCTTTCCAAGATGACTCCACCTTCTATTTCCTTCAGATTGTTTTCTCTCAGTGTGGTTCCACTACTCACTAGATCCACAATAGCGTCAGCTATTCCCATCTGAATTATTATTGTTATTACACAGGGACAAGGAATAAGGATACATGACTAGCATGTTCAAAGCAAATTCATAGTAATATTATCCGAGTCTCAAAGAATCAAATCTCAAGTGGCAGACTATCTTATTTCATATGTTAGAAAGGGTTATGCTATAAAACATAAAATCCCGGAAGATAACATGTGGCACGAGCAATACTAAATGCAAGATAACCACTAGATTAAGAGTAAGGGGGATTCTGTGCCATTACACTATGTTAAATAGTGAAGGAGGGAACAAAGAGGGGGAGAGAAGCAGAAGTCCTTGACTTACTTCTCTTAGAGGTAACCTTCATTTGTTCTCATCCAGTTGTATGGACAACAAGGACATTCTTGTTAAAAACAAAAATTATTCCTCCTTTCTGTCCAACTCTGAAGCGGTTAACATAGCAGAGAGGTTGGCTCTCCACTTACACGTTTGACCAAATTAATGGCAGTTGATTGAACCTTTCAAAAGTTTATAAATCTAATATAGAAAGCATTCAACACAATACTAATTGTGTCAACACACTGAACACAATAAATCCACATTTTACAGACATGGTTTTAGGGAAACTATTCCTCCTTTCTTTCAGACTTCGAAATGGTTAAAACAGCAAAGAGGTTGTCTCTCCAGTTATACGTTTGACATGGTTATCAAAAAAATAATGGCAGTTGGGTGAAATTTTCAAAATTTTGAAAACTAAAGTGCAAAGGTTTCAACAAAATAATTGCACCAACTAACTAAACACAATAAATTCTTTCCACAGATTATGGGAAATTATCCTCTTTCTGTCCAACTTCGAAATGGTTAAAACAGCAGAGAGGCTGCTCTCCACGGACACGTTTAACCAAACTAATGGCAGTTGAGTTAACTTGTCAGACTTTTAAAATTTAATATGCAATGTTTCAGCAAAATACTAATTCATCAACTAACTTAACGCAATAAATTCACATTTTACAGACATGGTTTAAGGGAAAATATCAAAGCTTTCTATACACAAAGTAGCAGAAATAACAATTTCAATCTAAGTGGGCAAGAAAGGTCAATTAAGCAAAGTCCTAATTGTATAACCTAAATGTGCTACCACAAGGTAGAGAATTATCAGTGTGCACACGATTTTTTTTTTTTTTTTTACACCAAGCAAACGCAAGCTATGGCATGCCAATAGCCACCAGGCAAGCACAAGCGAAATAGGAGCATGGGGCCAAAAACTAAGGAAAATACCCAAACAAAACAAAATAGCAGTATACCAAGAAAAATGCACCAAATCCCAATTCTAAAGCAACACAACTATCTTAAAGTTAAAAGGTCTTAACTCTTATCCACATAAGTTATTCTTACCGCAGGGGCTGCTTCCAGGGCTCCATCAGCGGTTGAAAAAGTGACATGCTTCAACCCATTGTCTTTCATAAATTTAGGACCCAACTGCAAATAGCAACTAATGAGCACATGAACAGGGAAAAAGAATGAAAGTAAAAGGAGCACGTAAAAAGTAAGCATAAGCCTTATACATATGTGAATCCTGTTGCAACTCTCAGTGGCCTCTCAGGTGTCCATTGTGGCATCTCTGCTAACTCCTTCATTGAGTTCACGTTCTCAAAAATCCCATATTTTGGTATCTGAAAAACGCAGTAGATCTTACTGGCAAGAAAAATATTATAGCAAAAAAATACAGAAAGAATGGTACAATAAGCATGTTACAGTTCTCTTGTAAAGCACAACAACTTACAGCTAGAGATAGACGACAATCACCGTAGTCAAGGGAATCATGGACAATGATGAGATCTTCATTCCCCTGCCAAAGAAAAAGTCTTATATTGAGCATCCATTCTATTCATTTTGCTTGTATAAATACACTAGCAACTAATAGAGTTAATTTAAGATTGAACCATAATCAACTCTTGTTTATGCTTCATATGGACAAATAAACTGAACCACTCAGTTCCTACCTGCCCAAATTCACTGACTGTGTCGAGACCAACGATGCCAAGGTCTAAATCTCCTGATACCAACTTCCGAACAATGTCTTTTGGCCGTTGAAACCAAACTTCCAGATTGGAAATCTGCAACCCACAAAGAAAAAAAATGGCGTGTAACCAAAGTAAATCATGTGTTCTCCCGAATAATACGCTCTAGATTCCACAGAGATAACCCAAAAAAATGCAATGCTCAAACGAGAGCTTTCAATAAGTGTGAAAATGTCAAAAAATTGATAGCACAGTCCTCCATAATATTTCCCCTCAAGTATATATAATATAATGCTTGTATTGAAATGATATTAGGGAAAAAATATCCATGATGCATGTAAAAGATAGAATTATGAAATAGAAATTCCAGCAGTTAATGGGAAAACTAAAGGGTATAAAACTAACCAGAAAGGAGAAATAAGTAAAGATCAAGATCATGGAATAGATGGGCGCAGTCATTAAACAAAATCTCCTTCAGTGACATAAACCATATAGGGATCCATTTTTTTCTTCTGTTTTTAGGGTTTAAAGATCTTTCTCATGAGTCATGTCGAATGGGTATGTTGTTGAAGCACAGAATGCGAGGCACCAGATAGGTTGTAATTACCAGACAATTGTGAGTTAGAATCCAATTAAAGACACCTATATTAGCTAATATCTCCATACACAGAAAAGGCAGCACCTGCATTCTTCCTAGTAGCTAACATGAACTTACTGAATCCAAACAGCTAACTTAAGATCGGCGTTGTCAAAGGCGCGTTTAAAGCGCGCTTAAACCCTGAGGCGAGGCTCAAAACACATTGTGCGCTTCGCCTCGCTTTGTGGGCGCTTTAGTGTCGCATCAAAGCTCTAAGACATATTTTTCCTTACCAATGAGTGTAATCCTGAAAAGGTGACCTTAAAAATTTTGATATTTCACTTTATCGTGAATTTTTTTTTCAATTTCTTTGTTCATATATTTTTATTCATGCTTATAGTGATTAGACTTGGACTACATGCATATATTTACTTTTTCTCCCGTTGCGCCTTTTTTTACTAAAGGCCACGATTTATTTGTGCTTTGCGCTTAGAGCCCCAACGGAGCTTAGAGCTTTTTTGCGCTTTTCGCCTTTGATAACATTGCTTAAGATCCACATTATTTTCATATAGCAATTGCTGAAAAAGCAGAAACGCAGAGTCATGCAATTCAGTGAAAAGTATTCAAAATTTTACTGAAAGTAAAAATTGCCGCACACCTGTGGAATTTCTGCAACGTACTGCCGAGGATTCACCTGTCTAACTGATAGCTGGCAATCCTGTAATTCACCGAAAATGAGGATAAACAAGTTAAAATTCAGCATTTCATTATAATTACATGTATACATTAGCTTAAAAGGGGAAAAAAGCAAATCCACGAATGAATTCGAATACCTTGAGAAGATCAAGAGTATCAGTAGCCATTCGGCCTTTGCTAGGTAAGCCGAGGCGAATTTCATTTCTATCGGAAGATCTTTTCTCCACATTACCGTTCACGACGGTCACCGGAGATGCCGCGGAGCAACAAGAGACTGTGAATTTAACGGAAACTTTGCGACAACTGGTAACAGACGGTGAAGAAGAGAAACTTGAAACGGAGCCTTGAATGAAAAACGTCTGAACAGCCGACATGTTTTAACTTTTATTTCGCTCGAATGAAATGCCGGCGGAAATTGAGACGGAGATGGAGGTTGACGGTGGGAAGAGATAAAATCGCCGCCGCGAATGGGTGATCTGGAATGGTGGAAGCGAAGCGATAGTAACAGGCGCGTGTGGTGTACGGAAGATTCTCTTGAGGCAAAGAGAACGATTCCCTTTAATTTGGAATTTATACGATGCTGCCGATTGTATTTTCACTTGCTGCAATTCACCTGCTATTTGCTCACACGTGTGGGATTCTTGTGAACCTTCTTTTTCCCCCTTTTAGATTTGTGACCCTTCGAGGTCCCTTGGGGCAAAGAAGTTGAGATGAGAAAATTGTTCCATTTATTGGAGTTTTAATTTTCTTTTTATCTTTTGTTTGGCCAAGGAAAAAAAAATATTGTAGTAAAAGCTATATTTTCGAAACAGGTGTTGAACCTATGTGCATTTGATAATTAACTCTGCTATCAAATATAAGGGTTAAAAAATAAATTATTTAATATCAATTTAAATTTGGAACACGTTAAAATATTTATGAATTATGTAGTAAGTGGTACATATTTATACAAAAGCTCTCAACAACTTAGGTGCGAATATATTTACACAATTATTGTAGTAAAAGCTATATATTTGTCTTTCAAAACAGGTGTTGAACCTGTTGGTTTTATTAATTAAGACAAAAAGATGTGTGAATGAAAAATGGTGGGAAAATAAATGGAGAAAAATAAAATTTTGAACTAGTCCCTTTTACAAAGGATTTTTGTCCCTCGTTTGATGGGAAGAGAAAATTCTTGCGCTTATAACTTCTTCTAAGAGAGCAAGCCTCGCGCCATCATCATTGTTCGGCTCGGTTTTGGCTTCGGTTTCGGCTTTGGATTTGGTCAAATGATTGATTGATAAATTTTTGAACCAAATTTATTTTCCTTTTCCACCATTTAATATTTCCTTTCCTAATATGTTTTTCGCGAAAAATATTAATTTGGAATTTCGCGACATTATTTTCCAACTATCAAATTCGCGACCAAATATTCCGTTTAACATAAATTCAAACTTTCTATTGAATAGACACCTTATCACATGCACCTTTGCACCTGTGGGGACTCAACTTTGTTGGCTATAATTAGAGAGGCTCAGCCTCATTTTTCACCATCGAAACTGAAAATCTTTCCCTCTATCTTATGCATTCTGTATTGTTTTTCCAAAGCACAATGTAAGCATTTTGTGTGATTTGCTCCGTCATTTGAGTTCGCCGGAGTTCTGTGATTTGAAGTGATGCATCACATAATAGTTATTATGTTCTATCCTGGCAGAAATTAATATGAAACCTTGGGCGACTGTGAGGGAACTAAGGAAATTCAACAATAATGGGTGCAAATATTATTAAGGAAGCTTCAACAAGCAAAAAGAGAAAGAAGTCGTATGGACCAAAGAATTACCCAAGCAAAAAGAAGTTTAAAGGTAATTTCCACAATTGTGGAAAGGTTGGATAGAAGGTTGCTAACTTCCGTGCACCAAAGAAGGACAAAAAAGAAAAGTTAAGCAAACATGATTAAGAAGAATGATGAAATAGACGATTTGTGTGCCATGCTTTCTGAATGCAACCTAGTCGGAAATCCTAGAGAATGGTGGATTGATTCAGGGGCAACTCGTCATGTTTGTACTAACAAGGAGTTGTTTCCTTCTTATGCTCCCGCTGGACCAGATGAGACAATTTTTACGGCAAATTCCACTACTGCAAAAATTGAAGGAACGGGCAAGATAGCTTTGAAGATGACTTCCAGCAAGATTGTGACTCTAAACGATGTCCTTCATGTTCATGAAATGCCGAAGAATTTAGTCTCGATATCAGTTCTAGTCAAGAACGGCTTTAAGTGTATTTTTGTTTCCGACAAGGTTGTAGTTAGCAAGAATAAAATGTATGTAGGGAAGGGTAACCTTACTGAGGGCCTTTTCAAACTCAATGTAATTGCCATTGATATGAATAAAATTTCAGCTTCTTCTTACTTGCTTGAGTCAAATAATTTATGGCATGAAAGCTTAGGTCTCGTCAACTTCAAAACTTTGCGAGAAATGATTAATTTGGATGTATTGCCAAAGTTTGAATGCAATAACTCGAAATGTCAAATATATGTGGAATCAAAGTATGTTAAACATCCTTATAAGTCAATAGTAAGATAGAATCCATATTAAGTAATCATATTTGGGAATTGGTTGGTCTTCCTCCAGGAAATAAACCTTTGGGTTCTGGGTGGATTTTCAAAAGAAAAATAAAAGCTGATGGTGCTATTGACAAATATAAGGAAAGATTAGTTGTTAAATGGTTTAAACAACAAGAAGGTGTTATTATTTTGACAGATACTCGCCGGTAACAAGGATTACATCTACCCAAGTGTTAATAGCGTTAGCCGCCGTGTATGGCCTTCAAATCCATCAGATGGATATGAAGACATCCTTCTTAAATGGAGATTTGGAGGAAGAAATTTATATGCAACAACCTGAAGGGTTCGTAGTTCCCGGAAAATAAAATAAGGTTTGTCGACGTATTAAGTCATCTTTCGGACTAAAACAAGCACCAAAACAATAACATGTGAAATTTGACCAAACAATGTTGTTAAATGGTTTCAAGATAAATGAGCGTGACAAATGTGTTTACATTAAGAATACTCCAAATCAAATAGTCATTGTTTGTTTATATGTTGATGATATTGTTGATAATGAGTAATGACATTGCTAACATAAATGCTACTAAATGCATGCTTACTAGTAAGTATGATACGAAAGATTTATGAGTTGCTGATTTGATTTTGGGAATTAAAATCCTTAAGACTTCTCAAGGTCTAGCTTTGTCTCAATCTCATTATATTAAAATGGTACTTGAAAAGTTCAAATATTTGGACTTTAAAGTTGTAAGAACGCCAATTGATTTAAACCATACTCTTGTAAAGAATAAAGGTCAGAGCAAATCTCAATTAGAATATGCTCGGGTGTTGGAAAGTTTGATGTACATTATGAATTGTACACGACATGATATAGATTGTGCGATAAGTAAGCTTAGTCGATATACAAGTAGTTTCGACAAGCTCATTGGATATCAATAAAACAAGTTTTGGGGTATTTGAAATATACCCAAGACTATGCATTGCATTACAATAATTATCCCCCAGTTATTGAGGGATATAGTGATGCAAATTGGATCACCGGATCAAAAGAATCAAAATCCACAAGTGGATACATTTTTTACCAATGGTGGAGGAGCAGTGTCTTGGAAGTCGTCCAAACAAACATGCATTGCTCGCTCTATAATGGAATCTAAATTTATAGTTTTAGGCAAGGCAGTTGAAGAAGTTGAATGGCTCAGGAATTTCTTGGAAGATATTCCATTTTGGCCCAAACCTTTGGCACCTATATGCATACATTGCAATAGTCAAGCGGCAATAGCAAGGGTTGGGAGCGTTATGTATAACGGGAAATCTCGTCCCATACGACGTAGAACTACTCTCTAGTAGAATTATCACAGTTATTTATGTAAAGTCAAAGATAATGTATCATATCCGCTTACAAAAGGCTTAACTAGAGAGATGGTTGAGAAGTCACCAAAGGGAATGGAACTATGACCGAGGACAAGTCACTGTGGCGGTAAATCTACCTAAAAGACTGGAGATCCCAAGATCTAGGTTCAAAGAGATCAAACAAAGTCATTAGTGACGGTTTAACATTGTCAAATAAAAAATTGGTTTATTCTCATGATGAAGACAATGTTCAGTACCAAGGATAAATCGTTAACACTTTTTAATGGTTTCTAAGTTTGATACGGGGCATATGAAATAGCGTAGATAATACGTTTAAAAATCACCTATGTAAGTGTGAAGTGTAAGCCGCTTCAAGGAGAATTTTATAAGGTCAGTTCTCTATACACTTATGAAATCAGGCGGTGTTCATGGTGATAAGTGGGGTTTTTAACTGTTTATTTGTTCTTTTCTACTTGCGTTTAGCTCAAAAATGATTAAAGGTATTCTCAAGAACTAATGAAATGTATAATGAAAAATGAGCCAAAGAAGTCAAAATCAACTCATAAAGGAGTCAGAAGTGAACAAGAACCAAAATAGGACAAAAAGGCCTCCAATGCGGGCCACACAATTATTGTGCGGCCGCAGGCAAGGAGATTCAGAGAGTTGGGTTTTGGAAGGCTGAAGGCATGCGGACCGCACCATAATTGTGCGGCCGCAGAAGGATAAGTGCGGCCGCACTTAAAATTATGCGGTCCGCATAACACAAAAATCAGAGAGATGAAGCTTTAAGTTTAAAGAGGAAATGCGGTCCGCACCATTTTTGTGCGGCCGCATAATCAAGAGCGCGGTCGGACTTATTTTTGTGTGGTCCGCATAAGTCCCGCAAAAGCCAGAGCTCAGGCTCAAGGAGTGCGGATCGCACTAAAATTGTGCGGCCGCAGAAGCAAGAGTGCGGCCGCGCTCAGAAATGTGCGGTCCGCACAACCTCCGCAGAGGTATTTTTGTCAGATATTTTCAGCCTAGTATAAATAGAACTTTTTATCATTTTTAGGTTAAGTTTTAGTTTTGGGGAGAGCACCTGAGCCATTTTCTTTACCGATTTGAGTAATTTTGTACTAAATTAACTTCTAAACATTAGATTTTCTTTCTCTAATCAATTATTATGTTCTATCTTAATTTCTTCTTGTATTTCTTTATTTTTCATGAGTACCTAAATTTCTAGCTAGGGTTGTGGCCCAACCCTAGTGTGGTTACTTAATGGGTGTTTGATTTATGGCTTGTTTGTGATTGGATTAGTGATATTTAGCCAAGTTCGTGTTTGAATTCAAGAATTAGTGGTTGCAAACATTGATTCATGCCTATTTGACTTAGTCTCTACTTGAGAAAGAGAGACTAAGTCAAGGAACACTTCGCTAACAAGGAATTGGGGTGAACTCAAGAAATTGATAGCCCCAATTAAAGAGTCAAATCTAGAGATAGTAATACCCGAATTGAGCATATATCACTTATTTTGTGCAATACCCATTTCGAATTGAAAAAAGCCAAATTGGGCAAAATCACTCAAACTACCGAGAGGTATAGAGTGGGTAATTGCGTGTGATTGCTATATTACAACCCCGACTAATCAAACCAGCCCTAGAGTTTACAACCCGTTAGGTAACCACCTAGGTGGAAATCAC